TATCTATTGTATATATCTATATATACATATCTATATATACACACACACAGACACACACACACACAGTATTTTACTTTCACTATATATATATATATATATATTCAGTTGATTCAGTCCAACTGTAAAAACTTCATTATTATTATTATTTTTTTAATGGCTTGGAAAATATTTATATGGTCCAGTTCTTGCCGGTGCATGGAAAAAAACAAAACAAAAAAAAAAACTGTGGTTGATATTTGTGAGTGAGCAGCTTCCTCAAATGGTGGCCTGCGAAAGCTGCTCAATCAACATTTCAGCCCTTAGCCAGAAAGAATGAAGTGGAAGCTCCCAAGTGAAACGCCTTCAAAGTTGAACATTTCCCAAGAATGAATGCCTGCAAATTTAAACGCCATTGTGTGTGACATCGAAGATTCATGTTTGAGGTCAGCTCAGTGAGCATTTTGTGTTTTTTTTGTCATGGCACCAGAGGGGTAACGGTGAGGAAATGTGTGATGATAACTCACTGTGACACCGGGAGGGATGTTTGCTCACGACAATGTGAGCCATAATCATTAAATATGACAAACCTAAATCGACACATTAAAGACGACACAAGACTTATTAGCTCGAACAAATTCCTATAAAATTAGATGACAGTATCACTCTGCCAAAACCTTCAAGTTAACTTTCATCTATTTTCATTTTATTGTTCAGTAATTAATTTATTTTTACATCTGGCAAATCGTTTACCCTGTTTTTAATCATTAGAAATAGTTTGCGTAAAACGGTGGTAAAAATAGTCCATCCATCAATTTTCTACACAGAAAAAACAAATGTCGTTGAATTTTCTCAATTTAGTTTCGTCAGGTGGTTGTGCACAATAAAATCATCTGGATCCAGATATATTTTTTCAGTGGTTGTAAAAAAAATGTATCTGGATCCAGATGACTTTATTTCACGCAGCCACTTGACAAAATTAAATCAAGTACCGTCAATTCAACACGCCATTTTTTTTCAGTGTAATCCGCTTATCCTCACAAGGGTCGCTGGCGTGGACTGGCCACCAGCCAATCACAGAGCAGGCATATTCCTGTCAACCTGAGGTCTGCAACCTGGGGCTCGAGAACTGCACGCGGCTCTTTCATCCATCTGCTGTGACTTTCTGTGCCTTTTAGAAAATAAGTATTCATTTTAAATTACTTTGTTTTTTTTTCATGTAATTTAATATTTTTTGGGTCCTTTTTTTCTGTTGTCAATGGTCAAAGTGGCTCTTTGAGTATTTAAGGTTGCCAACCTGTGCTGAAGACCAGCCATTCTTTAAACTCGAGATTCACACTTCGGGAAACTTTCGGAATCTTTGAGTAACTTCAAAAAACATGTTTTTGTACTTTGAGAGGAATTCAGAGTAGCCGGAGAAAACACACAGCAAGGCGGATATGCTAACCACTTGGCCACTGTGTAAATTATCTCAACAATATTGTATAATAAAGCTACATTGTATAAATAAATGCCACCCTGATTGCTTGTAATAGATATACTTGTGTAAACAAATGCCCCCTGCTTCCACAAACAAGGTTTTTATGACGTTTAATGGTTGCCGTTTGCCTCCCAAAATATGATTTGTCTTTCATTGCCTATTTCGCTGTTCAAGATAGCTTTAAAAGAATCCAAGATGTGACTTGGGTTGCCAGGCTTCTCTCCAAAAAGTTTTGCTCTCTCTTTCTCTCTCTCCCTCTCTCTCACACACACACACACACACACACACACACACACACACACACACACACACATCGTGTCTTTCCACCTTTCTCGCCCTCTCTGTGTCTAGCACTTGGGTCTTGTTTTGACTAAATGGTCGCGCAGTCAAAAGTCTCCCAGGAGTGTGCACCACACCCCAGACAAGAGTGGAAACTGGCTCGAGTCACAGTCAGAGCAAAAGCAAAGGAAAAATGAGGGAGGTGGGAGAGGGCGGGGGAGGCGATTTAGGGTTGCGCTCTTGAGTCGACGTCTGCAAGGCTGGCTCGCTCTGCTTTGCCCCCAGACCGTTTGACTTTTTTCGGGGGGTGTATGTTTTACATCTGCTGCTTCTCCTTCTGTTCATTTGCTCCCCTCTCGCAACCTCTCATTTGCGGTGAACACAACAAAAACAAGAGTTACAAAAGTGGATTGTGGTGTCACACATTTTGTGGCGTCTGCCTCATTCTTTCGTCGCACTACGGCGTTGGTTGAAGCCGGCGACTTCAAACTGATATCAGAAATCCTCTTGGGGCTGTTTATGAACAAACAGCAGAGTCGAGTTCGGCCTGTCCTCACCAGGAAGTTAATTACGATTGTTTTCCTTCTAAATTCCAAACATTTTGTGCACTTTTCCAGTCTTTGCTTCCCACTGATGATTTATTTCCTCCCATCTGTCATTTCTATCCACCGTCTTCTCTGCATGTCGATGGAGCAGACTTGGCCGGGTTTCTTTCAAGGTGCTGTCGAGTGGATGTGGTGTGTTGGTGCTTTCGGGGTGTCGGTGGTGGTGGTAGTTAGAGTGAAGAGGTGGGGGAGAGAAAGGGCAGGTAAAACAAAGAGAGGTTGTCTACAGGCGAGGGGGGGCAGGAAACACGAGTCTCCCCGGACTAGCTGCTCCTCAGCCTGCGCCAGATTGGACCTGACAGGCCCTCAGCCATGGCAGCCCGCTTGTTCTTTGTCCCGTTTTGCTCATTTTTACCATCTTTTCATCATTCTAATGACTTTTTAGCAAGTTAATATCCATCGCCTTTCATGCTTATATCTGCGCTCTCAATTGCCTTTTACTACACTTTGAACATCAGCCCCCGGAACGGGCCCTTTGGTGAAATATTTTAGGGTTTTAAATGTTTAATAGGTGGGAAATAATTGATGAGACAAAAAGATTACTGCGCAGCATACATTTTGCCAGTTCCCATTGAGAGGACTCTTTGAAACAATGTGACATTAAATATCCATTCAAAAGAAGTTTTTGAACTTATGGGTAAAACTTTCAAAATGGAGCTTCATTTAAAAGATAGGTTAGAGCTGGGTTTTTTTTAAAATTTATATCAGTACAGTAGATCATTTTGCACAAAAAAAGGGTGCGTGGTTTTTGTTGAGCGGTCAACATATTTTTGTCCACAAGAGGGCAATATAGCACAGTGGACAAGTGTCTGAGAAGGCTGTGTTGAGGATAAAAATGATGACGTTCTCTCGTGCAAGTTAAATTATTTTTAATGCTACTGTTAGTGATAAAATATCTATAAACCCAAGATATAATACGTTCACCAAAACATATACGACTACTGTACCATAATATAATTTCCTCTACAATACACACTGCACATATGCATGCAGTACCTGTATGTCCTCCCATCATTTCAATGTCCGTGGGGCTTTATATATATATATATATATA